GCTGAGGATGTAGCTCAGTGATTGTGCTCTTGGGTTCAATCCCTAGTACCACCAAAAATCAAAATAAAAACAATTAAGTGTCACTTATTCCTGGGTAGCTTTTACTTTTTATTGCTATTGAGATTGTAATTGTATTCTTGGATTTTGTGGCATGAAAGAAAATGACTTTTTTTAGTAGTTCCATCCACAATTTATTGAATTATAAATCAGATTAAATGATTTTTTATTTCTGTAAAATAATTGGCCATTTTTAATTCTCTCTTTTTTTAATAGTGATATCACCTGCAAATAACATTTGTCTTTTTAAAAAAATATTTATTTTTTAGTTGTAGTTGGACATAACACCTTTATTTCACTTATTTTTTTTTTAATGTGGTGCTGAGGATCGAACCCAGGGTCTCACATGTGGGAGGCCAGCGCTCTACCGCTGAGCCACAACCTCAGTCCCACATTTATCTTTCTTTGAAGACAGGTATACTTCTAATTTTTTTTTTTTTTTTTATGTGCCAGTGGAACAGGTTTAATTTATAGAACGGTGTTAAAGAAGAGTTGCAAATAGGGCAATATAGGAATGCCTTATATGATGTTGTTGGCTATTCATCTGAGATTTTTAAAAATTATTTGAAAAATATTTAGTAGTTAACTAGTTCAGTAAGACTAGTTTTAAAAGTTAAGAATCAAGGGCTGGGGATATAGCTCGATTAGTAGAGTGTTTGCCTTGCATGCACAAGGCCCTGGGGTCAATCCCCAGCACCATAAAAAAAAAGTTAAGAATTGATAAAGATTTGGCCCTTAAAATATACTAGAGTTTTTTTTAAAAAAATCAAAGCACAACAGTGTGTACTTACGATGATAGATGCTCATCAGGAACTGTAAAATGGGAATAGAAAAAAAAGTTAATTATGTTATACTAGTGACCACAGACACAAAAAATCTTAAAACAAATTGAACCTATGTATATAATTTTGTTCCTTCCCTAAATCCGCCTAAAACAGTTAAAAAAAAAAAAAAAAACCATAAACTCCCAAGAATGAGAAAGGCAGGAAGAAACAATACTAAGATAAACTGGAAGTAGATAGAAGAGTGAAAAATAATTCACAAGATCTGAAAAAACTGAATCCTAGGCTAGCAGTGGGGAGAGTCAAGCACCAACCTGATTTAATTACAGAATCCAATACTTCTCCTCTACCTTACTCCCCTCAACCCCCCCCCCCCAAAAAAAAAAGAAATTCTCAAAATGGTAGTACCAGATTGTTCTGGAGGCTGGTATCAATCAAGGACATTAAAATAACAAAAAGTCTATGGGCTGGGGTTGTGGCTCATTGGTAGAGCTCGTGCCTGGCACATGTGGGGCCCCGAGTTTGATCCTCCTCAGCACCACATATAAATCAATAAAATAAAGGGGTGTGTGTGTGTATATATATATATATGTGTGTGTGTGTGTGTGTGTGTGTATATATATATATATATATATATATATATATATATATATATAAAAAATATGTTTAAGAAGTAATCTACGGCCTAGCTATAGATGGCTGCTGTCTTTGCGCTCTGACAAAAGACTAGGTTCATTTTCTGGAGAGATTCAAACACACGTTATCTGACCTAGAGGAAAATTCTAGGTACACACAGTGGAGCTAAGGTGTCACATGAAAAACAGGGGACCTCATGCTCTCTTCCCCAATATGGCTCTTGTAATACAATCAGGCTTTACCCTTTGGGCAATCTTTCCTGGGGACTCTGACCAAGCCAAGAGGAATGACACTGGAATGTTTTCCCCAGCTAGCCTAGTAAAAACAATTACAATGACATTAACCATCCATAAGCTCTTCTATATCCAAAGTCTTCACACTTAAACATTCTAGACAACTAAGAATTACTGGGAAACAAAGGAAAAAAGACAGAGAACAAAACAAACAGAAGCAAACTAATTAGAGAAAAAACTGCAGAGAAAATATTTCAAACACCTATCAATATTATCAGAGGAAAAAACAAGCAAAGCAACTGTAAAACAGGCACAAGATATAATAAAGGGATCTTCAGGGGAAAAAATTGTAAATTAAATATGACAGCAGAAATAAAAAAAAGGAATCTAAAAGATTCAGTTAAAGAAAGTTCCTAGGAAGTGGAGAAAATTTAAAAAATGAAATATAGGAGAAATTGTACATCACTCAAGAGGAACAATAAAGGGCATTCAGTAACTGAATAATGGAAACACTAGGAAAAAAAAAAAAAAAAACTCATCAATCCAGTAAGTCAAGAAAATTTCCCAGAATTGAAGGATATGAATTCCTAGTCTGAAAGGGGCCACTGAGTGCCCACATGGTAGAGTGAAAAAATAAAAAATAATTCTCATCAGAAGATTCTAAAAAACTGGTCATAAAGAGAAGATATAGTTGAGCTTCCAAATCCATGGATTTTATGTTTCCATGATTCAACCAGCCTTGGATTAAAAACAAAACCAAAACAAACAACAAATTTGGAAAAATATTCTCTGTGCCTATACCTGAACATGTAGATTTTTTTCTTATCTTTATTCCCTAAGCAATACAGTACAACTACTACTTATGTAGCATTTACATGTGCCAAACATTATGAGTAATTGAGAGATGATTTAAAGTTTATGGGAGGATGTGTATAGGTTATATGCTATTTTAAATAAAGAACTTGAGCATCAGTGATGTCCACAGGAGGTCCTGCAACCAATCCTCTAAGGATACTGAGGAACAAGTGTGATTCAACTTCCAGAAAAATAAAAAGTCACATAAAAAATCAGGAAAAACACTAGAAGATAGAAGATAGCATAATAATGCTTTCAGATGTCTCAAGAAATATTATTTCCAACATATAATTTAACACTTAGCCAACCTATCAATTAAGTGTGAGTATAGAAAAACTTTCAGACATGCTAAGCCTTAAAAAGTACATCTCACACCCTTTCATACCCTTCTTCACGAAGCTACAAGAGCTTATGCTCCATAAAATAAGGTAGAAAACCAAGAAAAGAAAATTGTAGGATATACTAAATATAAGGCCCAACATAGGTAAAGAGAATTCCCAGGATAATAATGGTGAAGGGAGATCTCAGGAGACAGATGAGATCAGCCAATTCATATTAGACAAGTCAGAACGCTCTAGGAGAGATTTCTTCAGAAAAATGAAATTGATGAACACCTTTTTAATTTGAACATGTTGAGTAGAGATTTAGAACACTGATAGAATGTGGGGTTGAATTAAGGATAAATACACAGAAAACTAAACAAACCAAGACAACTGTAACTACAGGGGAACCAAAAAGTAACACAGGAAATGTAATCTTAATTTCCTACATGGCTCAGCTACAACTAGTTTATATTTCCTTACACAAGCTTTGAATCTTGATTTAAAACTATTAGCACTTTAGAATGGGGGTTAAGGAAGGTTCTACGACTAAAAAAACAGGTCTGCGGGCTGGGAATGTGGCTCAAGCGGTAGCGTGCTAGCGTGCTCGCCAGGCATTCGTGTAGCCGGGTTCCATCCTCAGCACCACATACAAACAAAGATGTTGTGTCCTCCGAAAGCTAAAAAATAAATATTAAAATTCTCTCTCTCCTAATAAAAAAAATAATAAAAAATAAAAAACAGGTCTGCTAAAAAATAAACATGATTAAATGTCAGTGGTCCTTGTGTCCGAGCCATGAGTGTCAACAGCACTTACTATGTCCCCTTCAAGATTGTCGGCCTAAGGTTTGATCCATTCTGACATACTCCAGTAAAAGTTGATTCTATTTTGAACTCTTAGACTGTTCAAGCTTAGACAAGAAACACTGAACTGACAATACATTAGCTTTCCCTCCATCCTTTCTGGAATCAGGACGTTTAACCCTCAGTAAATTCTGACTGAAATGCTTTACTTTTCTCAGTCTTTTAAAAACAGTAATGCAAAATAACCCATATTGAAGCACACAAAAGCCATGCAAGTGAATAAGCGATGGCAGTCTTGAAACCTAATTTGGCTTTTGTTTATAGGGTGACCATCTTTACACTGGAAGAGTAGTTCGAATAGTCCATACATTTTGATTTGAAATATCCTTTTTTTTTTCAATTTGTAATGCTGAGATGATCCTGGCTCCGTGATATTAGTGACATAGGCATAAAGCACCCTCTGCTGGTCCCTGGAAAAAAGACTTTTAGAGCATCCAGATTTACTTCAGAAATTAGCATATGCATTTGGGTTTGTGACCCTAAGATATTTACTTTCTGAATAAAGTATATGAAGAGTTTTTAAAGTTAACATTAGGACTTGAGAAAAATTATGTTTTAAAATTCAGAGTTTCGAATGAAATAACTTAAGAGTTAGCTTTTCCATAACTCACTATAGGATTCAGTCCTTTCAACCTCCCAAGCCCCTCTCACGTGTACTCAACGCTTGTCCCAGAGCTTCCGTCCTCATTGGCCTGTTCGCCCTCCGCGGGAGGAGTGCCAACACCTGCACTGTTCCTTAAATATCTGTTAAGTGGATTTGACTTTTATGGCCGAAATATTTCTATTTAATTTTATTTTTTCCACGAGCCTGGAGTTTAGAGATAAGGGAAAAAAACTCGGGCAGTTTACAGCGCCCACCCTGGTGGGGCCCGGAACCTCGCGCCCGTGGGCCCTGGCGCCCCCGGCCCCCTCGACGTGTTCCGCGGCCCACAACGCAGCCACGCACGGCCTACGACCCGTACTTCGTGCGGTTTCCCTCACTGCCGCGGCCATCTCGCTCAAGAGCTCCTCTACGACCGCGGGTAACGTGACAGCCATGATGCCACAGGTTGCATCCTCTTCAACAAGATCTTAGGCCACCGAACTCCGACCTGCTACGATAACCTGCGGAGGAATGCCGCCGCCACTGGGGTTGGGGCGAGACCGTGACGTCGGTGTACGTCATCGCGCATGCGGAAAGCAACGATGACGCCTTCTTGGGCATGATGGCCCGACCAATCCGGCGAACCCTTTGCGCAGGGGGCGGGGCGTCCCGGGATCCGACCGGCCTGCAGTGCGCAGAGGACGCGGAGGGAGCATGTACCGGCTCCTGAGCTGGAGCCGGGGTCGAGGCCTCCTGCGGGCCGCGGGGCGGCGGTACGGGGGTTACTCTGCGCGCCTGCTCCCCGGGCCGGCAGGAGGCCCCGGGCCCGAGATGGAGGTGCCGCCACCCCGAGTTGCGCCGCACGGCCGCGGCTCGGGCCTGCTGCCGCTACTGGCAGGTGAGGGGCGCGGGCCGGGCGGGGCCGGCCGGGCGGGGACCGGGGCGCGGGCCGGGCCCGGTGACCTCAGAGCCCCTTCCTGCAGCGCTCGCCTGGTTCTCGAGGCCTTCTGCGGCAGATGCGGAGGAACAGCAGGGAGCGGGCGGGGCCGCCGCTGAGGATGCGGCGGACGAGGCAGAGGCCGAGATCATCCAGCTGCTGAAGCGAGCCAAGGTGAGGCTTCGTGAGCCCTTGTGAGCGAGGCCTTCCCTATAGTTTGCGGAAACGTGGATGGAGGCTCGGAGGATAAAATTGCCCCAAATTAGATGGATCATCAGAGGGGGGAGGTTGGGATCCATTCAGTCTGGTCCGTCTCTAAAACCTGCAGTAAAATTGCTGCAGTCTCAAGTGCAGGTGGAGATGGCACCCTTGGCATATTTCTTTTGTTTGAACAAATTATTGAAAATGTTTTATGGTTGTTTTTAATCAATTAACCAGCCAAGATGAAGTGGGCATTATTTGCACATACTATGATCCTTAAAATGCAATTCTTCCTTTTCTCCATATCTTTTTTTTTTCTTAATATTCCTTTTTTTTTTTTTTTTTCACCCCAGGCTCTCTCAGTTTGCTGTTTACATTCTATCTCCACTGTAAGGCCTCATCTACCTCTCAGACTTAAAAATGCCCCAAACCAAACTCTTCCTCTTGAATGCCTTTCCAACACATTCTTTATCTTCTCTTTATGACCATCAGTTTCTCAGCTACATTTCTAAAACTTGTGGTCCTCTATCATTGCCTTCCAGTACACAGCTGTAATTCCTGTTGCCACCAAATGCAAAATATTTTTCAAATATGGCCCGTTTCTCTATTTCCCTTGCTGTTGTCATCCTAGTGCAGTCACTGTCACCAACTGAATTGATAGCCTGTCCTGGTCTTTTGACCCTCTACAATTCCTTTTCCATACATCAGTCTTAGTGATACCTACGACATACATCAGTCTTAGTGATACCTATGATGCATTTTCCATACTGCAGCCTTAGTGATATTTTAAAAATGCAAATCAGCTCACATCACTCTTGCCTGACAACTCTGAGAAATTTCCCACTGCACTTGTTAAAATTCAGACTCTTTGCCATGGTCAGCAAGATCCTAAGATCTAAACCATCCTACCTCACCCATTCATTTGCAGTAGTGCTCTGGCTCACCATTCTTCACATTTCTTTCCTGGCAGTTCTTCTGAAGAACCATTCTTTTCAACCTGTACAGGCTTCACTCATTCTCTGTGGGTCATTCTTCCTCCCAATTCCATATTTGGTTGACTTACTGTCACCCTTTGTTCCTCAGTTTAATTCTTATTTCTTTGGAAGATTTCCCTGATTTTCATTGGAGGAGACTACTTCTCACTTGCCTTTTTTTTTTTTTTTTTTTGCTGGGGATTGAATCCAGGGCCTTGTGCATACAAGGCAAGCACTCTACCAACTGAGCTATAACCTCAGTCTCCCGTCCTTCTCACTTCTTTCCATTGTTTTTCTTCATAGCTATTAATTAATGAATTGTAATTAAGCCTATTTCCCCCGATGGTCCCCTTCAGCCTAAAGGAAGGAAGAGAAAAAGAGGATGAGCTGGGTGCACTGATGCGTGGCTGTAATCCCAGTGGCTTGGGAGGCTGAGACAGGAGGATCACAAGTTTAAGACCAGCCTTGGCAAATTCGTGAGACCCTGTCTCAAAATAAAACATAAAAAGGGATAGGAGGTGACTCAGTGGTTAAGTTCCCCTGGGTTCAATCCTTGGTACCAAAAAAAAAAAAAAAAAGGAAAAAGATGAAGGACAAACAGATTTCTTATAAAATATGATATAAAGATTGCTCACATTCCTTCTGCCTGCATCTGTTGGCCAAAACTTCATTACACATAGCCACATATAGCTGCCAGGGAGGCTGACCTCCTTGTCATCTATAGACAATGCTTGCTGCATAGTAGGAGTCAGTAAATATCTGATGAATGAATAGCTTCTTTCTATGAATGGGATGTATAGCCATCTGTACTTCTTTCTGGAAGCACATGCATGTGCTTTCCTTATACATCATTTAATGTTATTTTCTTTTTCTTCTCTTTTTAGTTGAGCATCATGAAAGATGAACCAGAAGAGGCTGAGCTAATATTGCATGATGCTCTTCGCCTTGCCTATCAGAGCGATAACCTGAAAGCCATCACTTACACTTATGATTTGGTAACTCTTCTAATCAAAGCTACTGATGACGAAGGGTGGATGCTTGAAAAGGATTGTTCTTCCTGATTTCTATTCCTGACCGTTGGGGTGTTTGAAAGCTCTATTTTCATTGTTGTCATTTTCTTTTTTTTTTTTTAAACCATTGGCAGAATCACTTATGAGCTGTCTCAATTCCCGACCAAAAAGAAACAAATAGCTTTTGTTTCTTTAATGATAAGTAGATCTAGATTTCATTTATTATCAACAATATATGCAACAAAGTATTTGCTTCTTATACCATTGCTGTACTGTGCTAGCAGATTAACTGGTGACATACTTTATCCACTTTGAACTTTTGTTTTTTTAATTCAGAGTGTGACTGCCAAAGGGAATCTTTAGCTTAAAGGTTTTTGGATAAGTAGGAACACAGTGCTCTAAACTGAACAATTTGTAATTTGCTTTCAGATGGCCAACTTAGCGTTTATACGAGGTCAACTAGAAAATGTAAGTAAATCATTTTGTAATATTTTGAATTTGTGAAATACGAGCCTCTAGGGAACTGCAATAGTAATGATGCAGGCTAAGCTACTATGATCCAGAATATAGTGACTCAGAGAGGATGAAGTTATTTCTCTTTTTTTTTTTTGACATATATTTTTTAGTTGTAGTTGGACACAATACCTTTATTTTTATGTGGTGTGAGGATCGAACCCTAGGCCTTGCATGTGCTAGGTAAGCACTTTGCCGCTGAGCCACAACACCAGCCCCTGAAGTGAGTCTACATGTAGGTCAAAGACTAAAGGCAAGATAGGCATCTCTGCTGTCTGGTTCAGAAGTCTGGTTCTTTCTAAGCTGCATGGGTGAGCTGACTCACTTCCAGCCTGCAGGAAGGGAGAAAAAGAAGATGAAGGGCAAGCAGCATCCTTATAAGTTATGGTTTAAAAAGTTCATATTCTTCCTGCATGCAACTCCTGGCCACAATTTCATCATATGACTACATGTAGCTTTAAGGAAGGCTGATTTGCTAAAAATTGAGGGGATTTTATAGCCATAATGATGGGAGAGTGACTATTGGGGCCAATTTGCAATCTCTGCCACAGTGATTTGATGAGAAGTTGATTTCTACTCATCCACAGAGTAGATTAAGATACACAGGATGTGGGACCCTGATACTTTGGTCCATTTTCCTTCCAAAAAAGTACTTTTCTGTGTGTTTGGGGTGTGTGTGTGTACACATGTGTACGTACATAGGAGTGCTACATCAGACTGACACTTAGAATCCAAGGGTCATGTAGAGAATTGGGCCCAAATGAAAAATCTTTTCCTTACGCTTTTAGGCAGAACAACTTTTTAAAGCAACAATGAGTTACCTGCTTGGAGGGGGCATGAAGCAGGTAAGAATATTGCCTATTATTGGCCCCCTCATTGAAGCGGTTTTTAAAATAGTCTTCCTGAAAACTTCTCCCCCAGTCTTCAATGTGCGCTTTGACCAAAAAAGGTGAATTTTTTGCTCCTGTACCTCTATAAAAATGGCCAATCTTTCACTAATTCAAAAGCATGGTTGCTGAGAACTTCACTAATTTCTCTAAAAGTCAAGAAGTTGAACTGAAATAATCTGTGAGGAAGTTTTACTTGTCATGAATTACCTTTATTTCTCTCTCCCAATAGGAAGACAATGCAATAATTGAAATCTCCCTAAAACTGGCCAGTATCTATGCTGCTCAGAATAGGTAAGTGTGGTTAGAATGTAGGTGTAACAGTGGCGAGAGAATGGGCCTGTGGGCAGGAAACTGATCCTAGGGTGTCATATAATCTTCATTTACCTACAAGTCATCAGGGTCTTCAAAAAATTGGCTTTCACCTTTCAGTTGTCCCATGCCTTGTCTTAGCAGTCTTCAGGCTTTTCCAGTTCTGCCCTGCTTTTTCCTTTAGCTTGCTGAGGGGAAGCACACAGCCCTCACACCTGGCTGTGTGATAAAGCTAGTCAAGTTTTTTGTTCCTGCTTGAAGTGAGAAGGGAAGTTGAAATGTGAACTGGGAACCGTAGTTAGCTCTTCCTAGAAGTGGAGAGAGCAATGTAAAATTGCCAGGGATAATACACTTTGAAAAAACCACTTTCTTTCTTTTTTTTTTTTTTAATATTTTTTTAGTTGTAAATGGATCTTTTATTTATTTATTTAAATGTGGTGCTGAGGATCGAACCCAGGGCCCACATGCCAGGCAACTGCTCTTCCACTGAGCCACAATTCCAGCCCCAAGAAACCACTCTCTTGATATAGGCATCAGCAAAAGAAGTTGTTAGGTATCAAGGTACATGGTGAGAGTCACTGTGGGAGTATCTTGTGGCTCATTTTCATTATCCATTCTGAGAAAACAGCAGCTTTTTTTTCTTTTTTTCCTTTCTTTTGGATACTGGGGATTGAACCTAGGGGTGCTTTACCACTGAGCTATATCCCCAGCCCTTTTTTAAATTTTTTATTTTGAAATGATTTTGCTAAGTTTTGCTGAGGCTAGCCTCGGATTTGCCATTCTCCTGTTTTAGCCTCTGAGCCACTGGGATTACAGGCTTGCACTGCTGGGAGCCATTAGCCAAGTAGGTATGACAATTTCCTTGCCAGCGTACCCCATGTTGCTTAGTGGAAGGGCTCGTGGAAATAGGACATTTTGCAGTGACATTGCATGTAGGTGACCTTGCTCAAGGACCAGGGCGGATCCAGGTTTAGGGTGTTCCCGGTTTAGGATAATCGGGTTTAGGGCGTTCTGGTTTAGGGCATTCCAGGTTTAAGATTATTCCTGCTGGGAATAGGGCGTATCCTGCTGCCTGAGTTCCCCTTGTTGCACCACCATGCTTGACAATAAATGTCTATTTTTAAGACCTTAGCAGAAGGTTTTGAATAAAATATTTTGTTTAAATGACTTGACCACTGTTCATATGTAGAGTATGTAGAGTTAATGATAGGTAGGTTTCTGGAAGGGGAACTAGTCGAGAATAGAGGAGAGATCTATAAATAAGTGAGTCATTTCTTATAAAGAAGAAAAACATGCCAGCTACATAGGATGACCTTAGACAACAATTTAGATAACATGCCAAAGGCTGAGAGCACTGATGAGTTGAGGGCCTTTTATTCCTATCAGTTTCTAGGTGGAGTTCAAAGAAGAAGCATATAGGATGTAAGCAGAGAACTCTAGACTGGAGTTTTATTTGGGGTGAGTTTAGGGGGAGAATTAAAACTAGCTTTCCTTACGTTTTTAGTTACTGCAGAATTTGGTGTCAGAGGTTTGGAGTGACATCAAGTCAGATACTATACAAAGGGTTCTCATTGAAGTCCTGGTACTGGTCTCTGCTGTCCTAGTCACAGCTTCTTCATTTTCATCAAGTCCTCTCTGCATTTTGATTGGACAGTAGAACTTCCGAGGGCCTTTGACTTCAAGTTGTCTAAAGAGCTTTAAGTTTGATTGGTACCAGGAAACGTTTTGGCTGAGGTCAATCTTCCTAGGAAGAGTATCAAATAGAAGTAGATGTTGGTGGAACTGAACTGCTCAGGTAAGAAGCCAATAAAAACCAATAAAACACAGGAAAGTAATACAATTTATAATCTTGTAGATGTGAAAGCTTTTATAGTATCCATTAATAATTAACCTTTAAGTACTTTTCATTCTGTTTTGTTGAGAGAATCATAAGGTAGAAGACAAGGCCAGGTCCTGAGGCTTAGAATGCCTGATACGAGTCCGGAGAGGAATTTTTTTTTTTTTTGTAGCTGTAAACAGCATAAATGTATTTGTTAATTTTATGTGGTGCTGAGCATTGAACACAGTGCCTCAGACATGCCAGGCAAGCGCTATGCAGCTACAGCCCCACACTGGAGGAATTTTTTTATAGGCCTCTTGCCCTACTGGGAACATTTTGTAGCAGCTTCTTCCTGCCCCCATGTCTTGGCTGAAAAGGGTCCCTGCTACCAAGGTTTGGGTCCAGAGCAGAAAGGGGATGCTTTTGTTCTAAGAATAGAGTAGCTCAGCAGGGTCATCAGCTCTTCCCTGGGAAGGCACTAGAGGAAAAGGTTGAGATTTATAGTGCTTCTTCTGGTAAGAAAGTAGAGGCAACATGGAAGAGCAAAAATCAAAACTAAGCTCCTACATAGAGGGGGAATTTCATTTTTTGGAACCCAGGGACACTTAGCCACTGATCCACATGCCCAAGTCCTTCTTTATTTTTCATTCTGAGATGGTGTCTCAAAAGAATTGTGAAGGGCCTCGAGTTGCTTTGAGTTCTCTTGTCTCAGCTTCATGAGCCACTGGGGTTACAGGTGTGCACTGCCTTGCCCAGCCTGAAGGAGAAATTTCTGTCATATTCCTCTGCATCTCTTTATAGAAATCAGGGAGTCAATCTGCATGCTTGGATGTCATCTTCAGTTGACCGAGGGTCCAGAACTAGAGTCAGTCTAAATATTGCCATGGCTAAAAGTTTCATTACTTTGGAAAACTTTTATCAAAGACTTATAGTTTGAGAGAAGTAATATACAATCAAAAGCTCCCCAGAAGCTACATGAACGCAGCAATCCCTAGTGCAGAGGGAGCTGAGCTTCCCTTTGTTAGGTCATACTTCATATTACTTTGATCAGGTGTGGGCTTTCCCATGCTTACTCATTTGAGACTGATAGTGGGAGATGATGAAAGACCACTGGTTATGTCAGTTGTGAAAATTTTTACAGCATTCCTAGCTTTTCATGTGTTAATTTACCTTAAATAGATTACTTTAGAAAAAATTTTGAGAATTGGTAGATTGATAGCCCAGAGGTACTTTAAGCATAATTCCCACTTTCCTTTACCAATAACGCTGAAACCTGAGCTGGAAAGATGGAGGTAAAAGGAGAGTTTGAGAAAAGGTAAATGGTTGATTATTGATCTTTGTTTCACAGACAAGAATTTGCTCTCGCTGGCTATGAATTCTGCATTTCAACTTTAGAGGAAAAAATTGAACGAGAAAAGGAATTATCAGAAGATGTTATGTCAGGTAGGAAACCGGACTCTTCTGGATGTTGTGTTTTCTCCACAAAAGGCTTATGTCTGTATCAGGGAGGGTAAGATATCCATTGTTCACTGTGACTCTAATATTATGAAGTCTGGAATAAGATGGGATATTTTGTTTGAATGATTTGATAGCTCTTTTGTTTGTATTTTTTATTTGAACTGTTCTTTGAAGATGTGTTCATAAATTATCAGTCAATTTTTATCTATATATAACCTCCAAGAAATTGGGAAGCAGAAAGGGAAGGCCTTTCTCTTACCTCTTAGTTCAACTACTAGATTTCTTTCTTTCTTTTTTTTTTTTGGTGGTGGTGGGGTGCTGGGAATTTAACCCAGAGCTTTGTGTATGTGAGGCAAGCCCTCTACCAACTGAGCTATATCCCCGGCCCCTCAACTACCAGTCAGAATGCAATAATTACCTTTCTTAATAGCAGCAGGTTAAGGAAAGACAGAAAGAAGCTTTGCGTTTTTTCCACACTTGTAGAAACTGGAAATGGAATGAGGTTGGCTGGAACCCTTCAAAGGGTGTGCCATTTTGGGTTTCTTAATTTTGTTTAAAGTATTGGGAGTTTTCAGATTTGACATTTGTTCAGTAACTTCTTTCATACCTGCTGTATGCCAAGAGCTAGTGAGATATTAGGGATCCCGTGGTCAAGTCTAGTTCATGAAGTAAGACACCACAATAGAGTTGTCTTCCAATTCTCTCTTGAACATACGTCAGTTTTTCTTCTCCATCACTCTACTGAAGCCACTTCTCTCAGAGTCACCAAATCTAGCAGTCATTTTCTCAATCCTTAGCTTTCTTATTCATTAGCAGCTTTGACTTGGGATGAATCTCTTCTACTGGAAATACATTTCTTTGATTTCGGGGCACCTTACTCGTGTCTTTCCCTTACTGACCTCAAGTGGTGGTGGACTTCAGAGCTGTCCACACTCTCCACTTTTCCCTCTGCCCTCATGCCCTAGGAGAGACCATGTACTCTCATACTTTTTAGATTTACATCTTCAGCCCCAGCTTGCACCTGAATAGCAGACTTATGGGTATGATTGCCTACCTGTCATCTTGACTGGTGAATGGTCATCTCACACTTAACATATCTATAATGGATCTTTTCAATTCTGTCACTCACAAATTTGTTTCTCCACAAGTCAGTCCAGGTTAGTAAGTGGCACTAATAATCATCCAGTTGCTTAGCCATAAAGCTTTGGCCCAGTTGCTTTGGACCTATAAGGCCCTCTGTGATCTGTCCCCCACCAGCATTTCCTACATCATCCATTGCACTCTCCTTGCTCATTCCATTCTTACCACACTGAATCTCTGTTGTTCTTGCACATCCCAAGTTCATGCCATCTTCCTTTTTTTTTTTATTTTTTATTTTTGCAGGGGGTGGGGTAGTACCGGGGATTGAACTCAGGGGTCCTCAACCACTGAGCCACAACCCCAGCTCTATTTTGTATTTTCTTTAGAGACAGGGTCTCACTGAGTTGCTTAGCACCTTGCCATTGCTGAGGCTGGCTTTGAACTTGGGATCTTCCTGTCTCAGCTTCCTGAGATGCTGGGATTACAGGCGTGTGCTACCTTATCCCACCATGCCATCTTTAAGGCCTTTTTGCTTAATATTTTCTCTGTCTAGATTGTTCTCTCATATTCTTCCATGGATAGCTGCCTCACTTTATTCAGATCTCTGCTCAGATATTTCTTCAGGGGCTTATCCTGACTAAAACAATCATCTCTTCCTACCTAGTATTATTTACCTCTTTAACTTTCCTTCATCATGCTTTAAAGTAGAGATCTGTGTTTTATGCTTGTCTGAATTACCAATAAAAGTATATTTTTGTTCAAGCATTTTTAGTTTTTGTCTTCCCTATCAAAGAGGGATCAAGACATCATCTGGGGGCTGGGGCTGTAGCTCAGTGGTAGAGTGCTTGCCTTGCAAATGTGAGGCACTGGGTTCAATCCTTCAATCCTCAGCACCACATAATAAATAAATATAGTGTGTCTAAGAAATATTTTTTAAAAAATCTGTTTTGCTATTACTAAATCCTCAGAACCTATAGTAGTACCTGACATATAATAGAAGCTCAGAAGACTCAAGAAAAATGAGTAAGCAAATACAATTTTAGTGTAGTGTGGAAGTGCTATAAGGAAACTAACAAAAGGTGCAAAAACAAATCTAACCATCAAGTGTGTGAACTAACTACTAGTCGAACGCTTGACCCTAGTGTGGGAGTGTATATCTATCTTTTTCAATTCCAAAAACCCAGTTATCATTTTAAAAAAATGAAGAAAAGCCTAAAGAAAAATGTAAAGGTCATCATCCTTAATCCTGCTGCTAAGAAAGAACTATTTTTTAGAGTATGTCTTTTTTGGCTTTTCCACTCATCCTGAGTGTTTTTTTTTTTTTCTCTTGGTGCTGAGAATTGAACCCAGGGCCTTGTGCATGCAAGGCAAGCATGCTACCAACTGAACTACATCCCCAGCCCCTATAACCTAATTTATGAGACTGACGTGCTACCTACTGCGCTAACGAGGCACCTCCTATAACCTAATTTAAAAAAAATTTTTTTTTTTAGTTTTAGATGGACACAATACCTTTATTTATTTATTTATTTTTATGTGGTGCTGAGGATCGAACCTGGTGCCCCATACGTGCGAGGCAAGTGCTCTGCTACTGAGCCACAATCCCAGCCCTAACCTGATTTTTTTAAAAAATACATATTTTAGTTGTAAATGGACCTTTATTTATATGTGGTGCTGAGACTTGAACCCTGGGCCTCACACATGGCTAGGCAAGGGCTCTACCACTGAGCCACACCCCTAGCCCCCTAACCTGATTTTTAATAGCTAGTAAATGTAATATGGAAATACTTTTCCTAGATAAAGAAATTCTTGCTGGATAGAGCAAGCTAATTTCTATTGTAAACATATAATTTTATTTCTAGAGAAATAAATTCTTAGGTTTGTACAAAGCAAATCATTTATCAAAGAAAACATTACTAAAAATCATATTAAAAACTTGGTCTGACTGGGCATGGTGGTACATGCCTGTAATCCCAGTGGCTCAGGAGGTCAAGGCAGGAGGATTTCGAGTTTAAAGCCAGCCTCAGGAAAAAGCAAGTTGCTAAGCAACTCAGTGAGACCCTGACTCTAAGTAAAATACAAAATAGGGCTGGGGATGTGGTTTAGTGGTCAAGTGCCCCTGAGCCCCTGAGTTCAATCCCTGGTACCAAAAACAACAACTACAAAAAACAAACTAAAAAAAAACCTGGTCTGGAGTCTTTGCTTCCCTGTGTTGTAGATCTATATGTGATTACTGAGGAAATGTGTATAAAAATCTATGTGAAAATATCAGTTACAAAATAGTATAATTAATAAGACCCTAATTTTCTAAAATACTGAAGATTAAATATAGGCAGAGAACAGGGGTTGAATGATCTTTATCAAAATGTAGACAGTGACTTTCCCTGATTGGTAAATTTATAGGAGATTTATATTTCATATGTTTTTCTGGATATTCTATAATTTTTTACTATAAATTTATATTTTTTCTCTTCAAACTTAATTTTTTTTTTAAGTTGTTGATGGACCTTTATTTTATTTATTCATATGCAGTGCTGAGAATTGAACCCAGGGCCTCACGCATGCTAGTCAAGTGCTCTACCACTAAGGGGCAACCCCAGCCCTCAAACTTAATTTTTGTTGTTAACAATATGTAGTATAAAAAAGTCAAATAGTATTTCAGGGCTTAATTTACAGTAGCATTTCCTTGCCACACTTCATTCCATCTATTTTCAACGCAACTAATTTCTTCTGATATTTACTTTCATATTTCTAAGTTATGTAAAATTTGCTATTTCTTGATTTATTATTTTAGGAAGCTATTGACTTATGGAAGAGTGAAGATTTAGCACAAGTTGTGCTTATGTACAAATATTCCCTTTGTTAAGTAGTGTTATCTGCTGAGCCAGGTGATATGATTATATAACTATGTTTACAACTTTATGTACAACTTTTCATTTTTCTCTGGGATAACTTTTTTGGTTGCTTGGTTTTATATTTCTAGGACCTGTTATTCATTTTATCATAGTACTTGCTTTCTTCAGTTCCAGACCCTTAATGGTGTTCATGGAAGCTGGTTGGCTTCTCTCTCACTGGTATGTCTGGCTGTAGGCATTCAGTTGTCATTTCCCTTTTATGTGCTTAGTAACTTACCATTTTCTCTCTGCTTTGTATTGTCTGTAGTTTTTAAAAAAAAATATTTATTTTTTAGTTGTAGGTGTACATAATACCTTTATTTTATTTTAATGTGGTGCTGAGAATCAAACCCAGTGCTTCATGTACGCTAAAAAAGCGCTCTACTACTGAGCCACACCCCAGCCCCTTGCCTGTAATTTTTTGGTATCATCTCCCTTGATTTTTCTCTACTTTCTTTAGCCTTATAGCTTTATAATGGCATATCTACATTGTAGTATAGTTCTCTGTTATTGGACATCAGTGTATTTATTTTTTTAAAATACATTCTTAGCATTGAACTTCTGGATCAAAAGTAATACATTTTAAGGTTGTTGATGAATATTGCCAAATTTTGAAATAACTGCTAGTTTACATTTTCTGTTTTACTATTTGTTTACTTTGTGACTTGGTCAAATTAATTAATTTCTTTGTGCTTTGATCTTTAGTGTGAGATTGAGTAATTTTCTCAGCAGATCTTTAGAATGATTGAATGAATTGATGTATATAAAGTATTATAATGATGCCTAATAATAATAGGTGCTCAAAAGTGTTAACTATTATTGGTTTTTATTGTTGTGATAAAGCTGTGTCCCCCTTTTCCCAAAAATTCATTAATTTTTTTATAACCTTTGTAAGCCTGGTGATATGACATTGTTGTATAACCCAGCTTTTTTTTTTCTTCTCCTTCGATAAGCAGTGAGGTGTGTATCATTTGTTTGTTTTCTTAAGTAAGACTATTAACCCTTGGTTTT